CAGGTGAGAGCTGAGTTCAGGCTGGTGACCAAACGTGGCCAAACTACCCCAGAGGGCGCACAACATGTCCCCCAGCAGAGGTACCACCCTCCTAACACCATATACACCCCGGAGGCTGTAATGTTTCTGAATACCAGTTGTTTGAAACCACAGGAGGGGAGAGTGCTCTTGTGCTCAGATTGTAATTATTATTATTATTGCTTTTATTATTATTATTATTATTATTATACTTGCAGTTTTTCTACAGGCGCCTAGCTGGCCCCTGTGAGAACAGAATGCTATCAGATGCGCAATTGGCCTGATCTTTCAGGATCTTATTGTATTTTTAAGCGCACAACCTGAATTTCCCCATATGTGATTGACCCCCCCACTGGAAAAAGAGTGACAGCCTGGAAGCACCCTAAGTCCTTTGTCCTCATTCTCAACCAACAGTTTCATTTCAGGGAAAGAAGAGTGATCTGTAAGGCGAGCAGCTTCTGCCCTTTCTGCTCCACCTATTTTTATTGGTTCACTTTCCAATAAAACTAAACTTGGGGTGGGTGTGGGTGGGGGATGATTAGGAAAAAGCCAACAACTGAAGGCAGTGGCAAGGACCCATCTCCTTAATGGAAAGTTGAAGCTCTCTTCTGACGCTGCGGTTATTGAAACACAACTGCACATTTCATATGCATATTGAAAATGGATCCCTGGGGCTTTCTGGGTGGCAGATAATGGAGAAGAAGGAACATAGCCAAAATGCTGTACTGGACAGATGTCTGTGATGGGTTACTTAATGTTAATTGCTTCAAAGCAGTGGCCTCAATTTGAAGGAATCAGAGAAGTTCCTTTGGTTACATCCTGTTCAATTACATGGAATTTGAAAGCTGCTTCCTTGCCTTTTCCAGTGGTATTCTCATACCGTACTCACCAGATGCACCAACCGCAGGGGGCTGAGGGGTCTTTGGTCCCTCAGTATCTGGGGGCAAGGGGCCAGGCCCCTGAATGTTGAGTGGCTGGAAGTGGCGGAGCTTCATGCTCCAGCACGTGGGGTGGAGAGCAGGCGTGGCGTGGCTGGTGCGCATCCTGGGGGCGTGGCACATCACCTGTGTGGGCGAGGCGCTCAGCACGGCTGTGTGTGTGTGTGTGTGTGTGTGTGTTTGTGTGTGCCATCCCCTCTCCCCTCTCTTCCTCCGCCAGTGGGTGGAAGAGGGCAAGTGTAGAGTCGGGCTCCTCACTCGGCTTCCTGTCAATGGTTGGCCTTCACGACCATTGGCCTCCTCCAGTTGCGTGTACAGTGGTACCTCGGGTTACAGACGTTTCAGGTTACAGACGCTTCAGGTTACAGACTCCGCTAACCCAAAAATAGTACCTCAGGTTAAGAACTTTGCTTCAGGATGAGAACAGAAATCGCGCGGTGGCAGTGGGAGGCCCCATTAGCTAAAGTGGTACCTCAGGTTAAGAACAGTTTCAGGTTAAGAACGGACCTCCAGAACGAATTAAGTTCTTAACCCGAGGTACCACTATACTTATAATAAACACAGCAGGTAAAGGAAGAGAATAAATTCAGGAGGGGGGGCTTTCTGGTGGACTGAGTTTCAGAAAGCCTTTCAGCAGTTAAAGTGGCTTAAAACACACTCCATTGCCAGAGGACAACAAATCCACTTAAAACAACAACAACAAATACTTCCTGCGTTTAGGAAAGTTACAGGGAAATATGCTGAAAAGTGTTGATGAACAATGGCTATGAGGAAAACATACAACAAGCAAGCAAGAAAGCATGAATGCCATATCACCTCCATGCAAATCAGTCAGAATAAATGCTCAGTAAAGACTGGGCACAGTCTAATCTCTCCTTAAGGTGTGTGCAAGCAACTCAGGATAAATAACCATTTATTAAACAGGCCATCTGGAGGGGTCCTCAGTCTTACCAGAACGTACTCTTTGTTGTTTTTGCTGCAGCAGTCTAACGCAGCAAACAAACAAGAAATATGAGCCACAGCAGCTGCACCAAAACTGCTTGAAGTACAGTTAGCCTGCAATTTACGGACATTTTACTTGTGTGCATTCAGATTGATGTATGCTGCGAAATAGGTAAATTAATTTAAAAGGGGCAGAAGGTGGGTGGGCAGCTTGGAAAAAAGGACTTTGGCAACCTCACTCACGATTTGGGCTTTAGACGCAATCCCTGGAACGTAACCCCTGTTTCTTTTACTCACGCTCAGCCCAAGTATCCTTTGGTTTAGCTAGCAAACTCGACTGCTGATTACTGCATTCAGTCACAAGCAACAGATAATGTGTGAGAGATTCAGTGTTTTATAGCTTGTGGTGAAGAGGAGTGAGTTCTGGGTAAATATAACTATACCGAGTAATTTAAAAAATGCAGAGATCTTGTTAAAAGGAGATGTAGATGATTCTCGGGGTGTATGAGGTACTGGGGAGGGGCAGTACCTCTGGTGGGGGGACGCATTGTGCTCATTCTGTTTGTCCACTTTTGGTCTCCACCCTGCACCCAGCTCTCACTTGTGGCTCCTAGAAGCTGTCAGCATGTATCAGCAGGCACATCCTGGGAATGGCTTCGACTGGCTGGCTAAACCAGGTGAGGGTAACCACAGAGGCGGAGCAGGGTGGGGGCAGTGGGGGTGGTCCGCCCCAAGTGTCATCCCTGAGGGGGCATGACATCGCCTTGGGAGGTGCCCCCCCATGCAGCTCTTTGTCGCTGGCACACCCTTCTGGGATGTGCTCTGCCGCCACTAGCTCTGCCTCTGCCCATCCCTATGGGTGCCACGCCATGCCGTGCCCCGTGCCCCGCCTCTATGGGTGGTTCACCCCGCCTCTGGGCGCCCCGCCCCAGGTGCCCAAGAGGCTTCTTCCCCCACTGGGTAGCCAATGGGTCTCAAATCCTTGTTGAGTTAGGGACTTCCCCTGCATGTGAAGACAGGCTCTGGCTGATTGAGCAGGCAAGACTGCTAGTGGTTCCAATGGTAAAGAAGGTGATTTCTGCACGTGCTGCAGAGGGAAGTGAGGAGCAGGTGGGGCTCATCAACCTGGGAAAGAGGCCCATCCAGGAGAAGGAAGACTCTGATCCTCCTTAGGGTAGTGATAAAGCGGGATATCAAATCCAAACTCTAATAATAATAATAATAATAATAATAATAATAATAATAATACTTTATTATTTGTACCCCACCCATCTGGCTGAGTTTCCCCAGCCACTCTGGGTGGCTTCCAACAAAGATTAAAAATACATTAAAATGTCACACATTAAAAACTTCCCTGAATAGGGCTAACTTCAGATGTCTTCTAAATGTCAGGTAGTTGTTTATCTCTTTGACATCTGATGGGAGGGCGTTCCACAGGGCAGGCGCTACTACCGAGAACGTCCTCTGCCTGGTTCCCTGTAGGTTTGCTTCTCACAGTGAGGGAACCACCAGAAGGCCCTTGGCGCTGGACCTCAGCATCCGGGCAGAACGATGGGGGTGGAGATGCTCCTTCAGGTATACTGGGCCAAGGCCGTTTAAGGCTTTAAAGGTCAACACCAACACTTTGAATTGTGCTCGGAAACATACTGGGAGCCAATGTAGGTCTTTCAAGACCGGTGTTATGTGGTCTCGGCGGCTGCCCCCAGTCACCAGTCTAGCTGCCACATTCTGGATTAGTTGTAGTTTCCAGGTCACCTTCAAAGGTAGCCCCACGTAGAGCGCATTGCAGTAGTCTAAGTGGGAGATAACTAGAACGTGCACCACTCTGGCAAGACATTTTGCGGGCAGGTAGGTATTGCTCTGCTTTCCTTTGGACCACATCAGCAAGACTGGGGGGGGGGGTCTTGTCATCTGGGCAGCCCAGTACCCCCATACATACTGCGCAGGCTTGTGCACCAGGGAGGTCGCTTTGGTGCTCCTAACACAGCGATTTGACCACCCCCAAGGGAAACTCCATTGTCTCTCGCTCTCTCTTGAGAGAGAGATGAATACCAACAGCAACAAGATGATGCTCCTGAGACTTCAGGCTGCTATATGCACCTCCCAGCTACATATCAACAAAAATGTCCTCCTCAGGGACAACCATAAACACAAGGCATGCTGCATCTCACTGCGAGAACAGGATGCCGGACTAGATGGGCCTTTGGCCTGATTCACCAGGGATCTTCTTACTGGCAAGATGAAGCAACAATATTGTCAATTCACTTCTTTATTATGCATCACTCATTTCATGCAGTTATAAGATTTTTGGCAGCAGTTCACAGAAAGTGAAGCGAACAATGCTTCCGGTTTACTTTTTGGCCAAGTTAAATTGCTCATGCCCAAACTGATATTGCTCTTTAAACTCATATTGCTGATCATAACTAGATGTATAAATTAGACTAATTTCACACATGCTTACTTTGTTTTCTTGGAGTTGTCAAATACAATAGAGCTCAGGGAGCTTCTGAGCCTTTACTAGTTGCACAGAAGGAAGGATTTTGCCTGTTGCTGCTTCTCCCAACATAGGCCTGGAGATGATATCCCTGCCAAAATTTAGCCCTTCTTGTTCTTTTCCTGGATTACCTGATGGTAGCACTAGGCAACTGGCTCCAGCTGTTGCCATTTCAAGTTCCCACAATGCCTCTGTTGCTCTGGAGCATTGTAGGTAATTTATTCCTGGACAAAGACACCCTTTTCAAGTTGATGAACCCCCTTGAAACCCTGGCAACTGCCCAAGGATGGCATGCATTGATGCCAGGTCAGAAAACATGCCACCCAGTGAAGACTTGGAAAACCAGTACTTCAGAATAATTGGTTTTGCAAGGCTCAGTTAAGTGGCAAATTTTGTCCTGTTTTCACATATTTCCAAGAATAATTTGCTTTGAAATTAGTAATTTAATATCCAACAGCATTGGACATTTAGTCCCACGGCATTTCCTAACTTTATACAACTTAACTGGTGGTAATGTAGTGCAATTGTATCACATGCATTGATTATGTGATCTAGTCTACAAAAATGCCATGCTCCTTGTTCCACCACAAAGGCCAATAATCTATAATTCAGCGCGTCCACTGTATGATAATAACAGCTAAAAAGATGACAGATAAAATCAGGCGGGTGTAATAAAGCCCTTTCTCCACAAGGGCCATTGTTTTATCCCACGCGACTGATTCAGGGTCATCCTGGCGTTCTTCTAGAGAGAGATGTTTCTTGATCTGTTGCAGTTCCATATTCAGATGTTTCAGAAACACCAAGCTGTCATCTTCACTGTCTTTCGCTGGCAAGGGAAATCCATCTGCTGGCTGGTTCTCTTTGGGGCTCCTGTCTCCTGTACAGATGAAAATGAGGAGGATATATGTTAATCTGTTAATCTGTTATGTTTGGGAACAGACATTGTTTGAGAATAAAGGAATGGAGAGTTAAAGAACTGCTTCTTTGATTCCAAATTCTGGTGTATGGTTCACTGGAAGCCGTGTTGGACATTTTACATCTGTTATAATGCAATGTGAAGCAACATAACTCCACCTTCATTAAAACAAATGCCAGTTATTTGATTCCAGACAGAGCCTGGGTTTTCCTTGCAAGACTCAAAGTGCTGGAGAAGACCATGCAAATCAAGAAGGCTCTTGCAGTGCAATTCTATGCATGCCTACTGAGAGCTAAGTTCCACCATCAAGTTTAGTTGAATGTTCTCCCAGATAAGTGTCTCAGCCTTAAGATATGCAGGTTAAATGGCTCTAAGAGCAATATTAATACTTTCCTGTACGTAATGAATGAAGAAGAGCTTGTATCTGATTTAAGCTTATTTCCACTTTCTATATTGCATGAAAGGGATCAGATGTGACACATCTGAGGCTTAACAGAATGAATGAAACTTGTGAAATTGCCCAGACCTTAGATTAATATGGATTGCTTCCTTCCACACTTACTTATTTGAGCTATGCTGACAGCCTGACGCCTCAGGTCCATTTCACACATTACTCAGAAAAGAATACAAGCTTGTTCCAACTGCACATTCTGGTGGGAGATGTACACTACTTGATGAATTTATTCTAAATCTGTTTATTCTAAATCTGTTTAATAAATCAATCAGTAAACAAATTCCAGCTCTCCAGTGGGTGCATCTCAATTATTTGTTTTTCTTTTTAAGAGTGTATACAGTGGTACCTCTGGTTAAGAACTTAATTCGTTCTGGAGGTCCGTTCTTAACCTGAAACTGTTCTTAACCTGAGGTAGCACTTTAGCTAATGGGGCCTCCCGCTGCCGCCGCGCGATTTCTGTTCTCATCCTAAAGCAAAGTTCTTAACCCAAGGTACTATTTCTGGGTTAGCGGAGTCTGTAACCTGAAGCGTCTGTAACCCGAGGTACCACTGTACTCAAATCCTGCACATACCCTTGTGCAAAAAGATTTCTTATAGTAATGGATGATGGTGCTTGATATCTGCACCCTTCTTCTGCTTTATAGGTGCCCCACCTCCTTACGGTAAATTGTTTACATTTTGGAAAACGCTTACCAAAATGGGTCGCTGGGCTCTCGCATTCCTCTTTCTTCTTGCTCAGGATTCTATTCATGACTTTATTCCCCTTGAAGGATGGCAACTTTGGTCTCTTCTCTCTGAGACAGAGTACGAAAGCGTTCTCCAAGATACCAAGGACCAGAAATACAAACATCCCAGTGAAAAACGCGGCTGCATTGAAGAAGAAGAAACACGGGTGGTGAAAAGCTAGCATCCCTCAGAGGTCTTTTCTTTAATGTGGGAATGGGGAACCCAAGGACTCTTCCAGTGCTTGAAACTCTCAGTGGGCCAAGTCCTTATCAATAGGCTTGCCCTTTGCTCTCCTTGAGTGTCTGCTTGGCTAGAATGTGTCCTTGAATTCAGAAGTGGCCTAGTGTGGTGGATCTGCCTCTTTCGCGTTCCAACAGTGACATCACTTACCACTTACTGTCATGGAGAGAGAGGCGGCAACAGAGAGGGGCAGTCTGGGGTGAGTGCATCAGCAGAGCCGGTCTGGCACTCCTGCTAGTGCACTTGCACTGCGTCAAGCTCCTTCCCTTCCCTTCCCAACCCCTTCTCTCCCTCCTAGTAAGAAGGAAGGTCTGGAGGGCAGCAACATGAGAAAACAGGCCTTTTCTGCAGCGGCTCCCTGTTTGTGGAATGCTCTCCCCAGGGAGGTTCACCTGACACCTTCATTTGTTGTTTAGTCGTTTAGTCGTGTCCGACTCTTCCTGACCCCATGGACCAGAGCATGCCAGGCACCTTCATTATACACCTTTAAGCACCAGGTAGACCGTGTCGGAAATCAAGCCTTTATCAGGAGAAACTGGCAACTCTCCCAGGCACCCGGCTTGGTCTCCTGTTGACCTCCCTGTCTGCTTTCCCGGCAGCATACAGGCTAGGTCGCGATAGGCGATCCTTCTCAGCGTGAGAAGAACACACCCCTCTTTCCTGCCCCCCCGGGCAGGGGAAAGAGATAGACAGAAACGTATTTACATGCCTTTATTTCTGTCTTTGCAGCGTTACAAAAAACATGACTGCTCTCTTCAAGCTCCAGCAGTCGAGAGAGAAACAAAACCTGTACTTCCTGTACAAGAGCAAAAGGAAGAGCTCATATTACACTCTGAGCTATTTCCGGTGCATTGCCCTGTGAATTGACTGTCCCTCTGTTTCCCACGGAACAGTCCTAACATTCCATCATGTGCTGTTTTCAAGCTAGCAGCTCGCGGCTGCATTGCTTCAATATCGTAACAGGCCGTTCCTCTTCAACCAGGCCTTTGGCTGATTGACGTCTAATGCCCTTTTAAAATTCAGGTAGGTAGCCGTGTTGGTCTAAACTGAAAACTATGGAGAGAACTAGTCTGAATAGAGATATTGGATTCTTGTCTCATTACATATGCTATAGCTATTTTTGGTCATCTGCATACTATCCCTTGCTTTTTCTTGTAGGACTAATTGCAGCCATTAACAGTCGTCAACAGTTTTAACATTGAGTCAATCACCCATCTCCTACTACCATTCTGAGAAGAACCACACCCCACCCTCCACTATATATAAGGGTCTGGTGACTTCTATTTCAGTGGCTCTGAAGAAGTGTGCATGCACACGAAAGCTCATACTAATAACAAACTTAGTTGGTCTCTAAGGTGGTACTGGACAATTTTTTTATTTATTTCACCCTTTTAAAATGTGTTGTGGGACGGGATACTATTGGGTTGTTTTTGTTTTTATTATGTATTTTCTGGTGTGTTGTTTTTTTAAAAAATGTGATTTATTTTGTGAACCGCCTTGTGATCTACAGGTAAAGGGAGTCATACAAATGTAATACATAATAATAAAATAATAATTATTCACCTTCAAGTTGCAAGATAGGGATAGTAATACAGGGTTGCTATACGATTTGAAAGATAATATATTTGAAGTGCTTTGACCATATTAAAGTGCTAAACAAATTGCTAAGGGGGTATTGTTATTCTGTTTTTGTACCGTGCAAGATAATGATGATTCACAAAATGTACCTCCAACTAAAAGTTAGTTACTGACCCAGAGACCTGCTCACTAACTAAACCACAATGTGTATTAGCCCAATGAAAGCAACCAAAACTATTTGACAGCCCCTAAGTGTTCAAAGGCTGCCGGCGCTGAAATAAGCCATGCAATAAAAGGTGGTTTACCTATGACTGGTGGATTATCCGATGTTGCGGGTAGCATATCATTAAGAATCATTGACAAAAATGAGATTTGAAGGATCAGTGTCATTTTGAAGGCAATCTTTTCTCCAGGAGAGGCAGATGCAATAGAAATAGCCATATCCAGCAAGAAGAGAGTTAAAGTTGGGAGGATCAGAACCAACACATACAAAATGGAGCGCCTCTTCATAGAAATCTGTCCAAAAAAGGGGGGAAATGAATAAATAAAAATGAAGATTACAGCAAAGAATGGAACTCTCTTTTCAGTCTCATGAGTAGCATACATTCATTCATAGTCCTTATTCTTAGCAACCCATTGGTGGGTAGGACCACCATCTTCCCTCTTCCAAAAATGTTTCAGAAGGAAAAGTGGGATATAAATGTAATATTAATAACAATAACAATTGTAGGAAACAATGGAGCACCTGGCAGGACCTGGAGTGGGATCAAAAGAGCTGCTGCAGAAACCCTGAAATGGGTCCCCGTACCACTGAAGGATTTACCATTGAAGGAAAACAAAGGTTTCTCTGTCTGTAATGGCCTGGCAGGCAAAATTTCAATACAGTGGTAAGCATTTGCTGAACTAACAAACTGAACTGGAATACAAAAAAGGGAGGTATGAGGAGGTCCGGGGAAATAAGGGTAAGGAAGATATGCTATGGAAAGTTAACGTATTTTTAACTGTTTTTATCTTGTATGTTTTTCTTTATTTTTCTTCTTTTTGTTATATTTTAAAAATTTTATTCTTTTTTCTGTATTTTGTATTTTCTTGTATTTTTATTTTTTGTTTTTGTATTCTTTGAAACTTTAATAAATATCAGTTTAAAAAACAAAAAAACAAAATTTCAATACAGTGGTACCTCGGGATGCGAACAGGATCCGTTCCGGAGCCCCGTTCGCATCCAGAAGCAAACGTAACTAGCGACGGCATGCCTTTCACTGCTTCTGCACATGCGTGTGATGTCATTTTGAGTATGCGCGCATGCGCGAGCAGCGAAACCAGAAGTAATGCGCTCCATTACTTCTGGGTTGCCGCGGAGCACAACTCGAACGCGCTCAACATGAAGCATATTCAACCCGGGGTATGACTGTAATCAGAACTTGATGGCACCAGGGCTGTGGAATGCCTCCCTCCTTGTTGAAATACAAAAGGCCTCCATCAGTGTTAGCATTCCACTGGCTCCTGTAGACATACCTATCTAGGCAAGCATTCCTCTCAAATGAACTTCTGATTTATTGTTTTCCCTGTTGGTTTAGCCGTGTTTTGTTTTTAATCGAAGTGTCCATCATCAACATATTTCAAAGAACACTTGCATTCTTTTTTAAGAAATAAAAATGAGCCAATAATATACTACCCTTTTAAAATTTACCTAAAATCTAAGCAGCAGTTCTGAAAATAAGTGTGGATTAAAACTTGTAAGCATGAAAAACAAACACTAGCTACATAGGGGGAGATCTTTTTCTGTTTCCATGTTTTTTAAATGTATTAGAAACCAAATACCTCATAAGTGACAGCACTGAAGTTAATTAAATCATATTCCATGATGTGCTCAATGATCCTCAGCTCCTCAAACTTCCATTCCCCACTGGTCAAGTAATTTTTGCGACTATCTTGGTTCGCCTTCTTGGAAGATTTGTTGCTCACCATTATCATTTCCTTATCTAGAGGCAGTAGAAGAGAAATGATACGGAAGGTTGTTACTTCAGGGCAGTATAGAAAATCACAGTCACATCCATATTAGGTCTTCCTTTTAAGGTTGTGTCATAACTGTTCCATCTTGTCCCACAGTTTGCTCAGTGTGTGAATTAAGCCCCGGTGTTTCATCACACCAAAAATGGTAGTGATGTATCAGTAGCACACACATGGTCAGCCTCCAATGGGAGCAACTCTGACTTAATTTTGAGAGGCGACTTTGACCATTGGCAAGGGGAGCAAACTTGCAGGGAAGAGTGATAATGGAGAGAGAGTGAAGAAAGATGCAGAAAACAGGGAACATAGGGCACATTCAGAAAGACACAAGCTGAGTGTATAGTGGGGACCTCCTGATGAAGGGTGGATAAGAAATACAGCGAACAAATAATAATGGCTTGTTCCCCGTGCTAGTCCTGCTTCACATCAACCCATTGAAAGTACAGTGGTACCTCAGGTTACAGACACTTCAGGTTACAGACTCTGCTAACCCATAAATAGTACCTCAGGTTAAGAACTTTGCTTCAGGATGAGAACAGAAATCGTGCAGCAGCAGCAGGAGGCCCCATTAGCTAAAGTGGTACCTCAGGTTAAGAACAGTTTCAGGTTAAGAACAGACCTCCGGAATGAATTACGTTCTTAATCTGAGGTACCACTATAATGGACTTGACTAACCCAATCTTATCTTACAACATAATAAAGTTGTAAGGCTGTCATCATGCTGCAATGGGAAATTCAGGCATTTTTCGCTTCTTACCACATCTGCAGCCATGCCATAAATGTTGGGGAGGGGTGGAACAAATGGGAGAAAATCTCCTCTTCATCTGTTCCCGCCACTCCCACCCCCATGCTGCTGCTCTGAGGTGCGAAAAACACCTGCCTTTTAAAATGCAGCCATTCTTGTCTCTTCCCACAGGAGAAACCATGCTCCCTTTGTTGGCAACCCCATTGGAGGTAGGGCTTGGTGATATGCAAAGGGATGGGGGTTGGGCAAGCTGTTAGGGCTTTGGGGCCATTGGGAAAGCTGTGGCGGGATTGGGGGTTGGGTGAGGTGTAAACGGAGGGGAGTTGGCAAGCTGTGTAGGGTTTAGTGGGGCTGGTGAGCCACACAAGCTGGGCTGCATCCCCTGGTTATAATTGCTGAGATAGGTGGAAAAGGGGGTGAAATGTGGTGGTTTGGAGTTCAACATAAGAGTGAGTTCATGGGGTGCAAATTGGGGGTGTGCATTCAAGAAGGTACAAATGAAGAGAGAGAAGCCAACTATCATGCCAGTTCAACGAAATACATGGTTTTACCTGAATGTATCGATGACATTATGCTTATGTTGCATTTTTGTTGATCGAAAGGAAATGCATGGACATCCAGACTGCAGGATGAAGTCAGTCGGTAGGCTTGAAACATTTGAATGGAACCGTCGGCTGATACATAAGCAAAAGGGCTCTGTGTGAACTTGTCTTCATCTGCCCTAAAGATATTGTATTGTAATTAGGAAAGCTTTGCATTTTGCACAGATTAGATAACCCCTAAGTCTGGCCCCTACATGGGAAGCCTCATTGTTAATCATAGAACTGTAAAGTTGGAAGAGACCCCAAGGGTCATCTAGTCCAACCCCCTGCGATGAAGGAATCTGTTTGCTCAACGTGGGGCTCAAACCCACAACCCTGAGATTAAGAGTCTCATGGTCTACCAACTATTTGTTGGAACAACCAACTAAAGCAGGGGTTGTCAGCCTGGTCCCTACCGCCCACTAGTGGGCGTTTCAGGATTCTAGATGGGCGGTCGGGGGTTCTACGGCAAAAGTTGAATCCTCCTTCCATCAAGCACTGGTGGGCAGTAAGGAAATTTTACCATCAAGAAAGATGCATTAGTGGGCAGTAGGTATAAAAAGGTTGACTACCCCTGATCTAAAGGGTCAACATGTAGACAGTGACTTCATGACAATGATAAAACATAAAATATGACTGAATGATGATATAAAATACTTATAACAAACGAATAATGAATCAAAACTTGCACAATTTTCTAATTTATTCCTATCTCATCAGCGGGAAACGGGGGGTGAAGAACAAGCAGAATGTGGACGAGCCCTTAGACCAAACTCTGTGCCAAGAAGACTCGAGGCAACCTGAACAAAGTCAAACAATGCAAAATTCACAGGTTCTTGCCTTAGCCCTGGCAATGGTGTCTGCATTTGTGCTCAGCCCCCAGCCCAGCGCTGTTAAACCTCTGGCTATCATGGCAGGCAGCCTTCTCAATGCCTGGGAATGGATATGGTAAAGTGGTTTCAGTACATGGCTGCACCAAAAGCAACCCTGTGAATTTGCCCTGAAAATGCAGTTTGGAAACACATTCACCATAGGATAAAAGCAGCATTACCGTTCATCTATATAGAGGTCTGGGGTCCAGAAAAGGTTCACAGGCAAAGTGATATTCGTAATGTTACAGAAATCCAAGGGATTCCATGAGACAAATTCATTGTCCCAGAACTAGAGGAAAGAAAAAATATATTACTTACAATAAAATAAAATCATGTGAGGATAGATCTGTTTGCTATTTACAGAAAAGAAAGAGGGCCTCACCACATACATCCAGAAATAGAATGTGACCACCTGCAATTTTTCTTGCTGCAAGGAACAAAAACGGAAAAGATTAACACATTATCTTCCTCCTGTCCTAGAGAATTAACACAGAGACAGATATATTGGTGATACAACTGGAAGGTGGGTGGGTGGGAGATGGATGTCCCTCTTTAAAAATCCACCCGTCCCCAACTGGCTGGTGGCCCTGCCTGTCACACACAGCTAGAATTGAAGCTATGAATCCAGTAAGCGACTGTTTTGCAATTTCCCCCAGCAGTTTGCAATTGTAAGGCAGCACCCCACATCCAACATCCCTTCCCTTTCTTTGCCCCCTCCCCAGTATTTGTGCTTAGCCCCGTCACTGGAGACCAGCCATGCAATGATTATTCTCTCTTACCACTGAAAGGATGGACACCAGGGTGAAGTCTAGTTGAACTTCTATAGGCTTTTCCCAATCATTCAGAGGTATGGTGTATAAGAAGAGATCCTTCTTAGAAGAGATGTTCAGGTACTCAGCCACATCGTGGTACCTACAATTCTGTTTCTGGGTGGCTTCTGGAGTAGGGACAAAATGAGAAGATGAATGTGTCAGTATGGTAAGATTCAAAAGTCCTTGTTCTGTTCTTGTTCTTGTTCTTCTTTACAATTTATTACCTGCTCTTCAACCTAATGTTCCAGGTTTGGTTATGCTGGGGAAATATTGGAGTTCAGTACCCAATACCCTGTGGGTTCAGCCTGGATGGCCAACAGAATCCGGACACCAATTGTTAGTCAAATAGGACATTTATTTAGATATTGCAAGGCTGGTTTCACACAGCCTCAAACAGCAAGTAGTTATGGATTGCACACCAAATATGAAAGAAGTATACACATTTATACAATTACAAGCACAGGGAAGCAAAGGGGCTGTTATGTCCCTGTATGGCAATACGTCTTTCTACTAGCTTATACTGGTTTAACCCTCCCTCCTTTTTCCTCAACAGTTACAGCAATAGCTCCTGCACATGTGTTGATCCATCCTTCTCGCATGGTTCTCCTGCAAACACAACCTTCACATTCCAGCCTTCACTGGCTCAGCCTTTTCCTCACACATTTCAATTCCCCTTTATTCTTTTATAATGTTATTCTCCCTTCCAGTTACAATTAAAACACAACAGTATATGAAAACACAACATTAAAAGCAGTTTAAAGAAACTTAAGAATACGAAAAGGTGGATGCTGAAAAGATACATCACAAGTGTCAAAAGCCGCAGCAAAGAGGTGCATCTAGGCAGAGTCAGAGAGTATCCTTTCTCTCCTCTTCCTTTGCTGTATACCATTATTTCGAAAGCCAGTGAACTCGAGAAACTGCTGCCTTTCATTCTAGCATCCATCCTACCTTCCATAAAGTCTCTTAGCTGATTTGTCAGCTATTAAAGCTAGAGAGAGGAGAAGAAATGGTTTTACCTGGCACCCAAGAGAGTAGAAAACTAATCATAACAGCTCTCCACATTCTTCTCTGAGAGTAGAACCAAGTGTTTTTAAGAGAAGAAGCAATAATCTGCTAGGCTGCTAAATTTGCAGCGGTGAGGAAGAGCCACATTTCTGTGTGAAATTGAGATCTCTCCTGGCTGTGGGGTAATGCACTTCACATCTCTGGTTTTGAATCTCATTTCCATGCATTTGCTCGTAATAATATTTTCTCGTAACTTTATTGGCTCTGCATTAGCATCTGTATATTTCTCCCTGTTGGGATCACTCAACTAAAACATTTGCTTTCGCTTCCTCTAGATTTGTGTTTAATTAAGGATCTGGCTTCCCATTAGTGTGCATTACTTACTCCTCGTTGAGGTCCAGATGTTTCTTTCCAGACAATTATGAGTTGTTCTTTTAATGCACTCTTTGCAAATGTTGTTAAGACAAATATTGTAATTAGATATCAGGCACTACACTCCTGCCTCTTTGAAAACACAACACACTTCACTTAGTAAAATACACAGTAGAGCCTGAAGGCATATCAACCCTACTCACATATATCTATGGTGTTTAAACCCATTGGTGTCTTCAAAGGATCCTGGGAATTGTGGTTTGGTATAGACGCTGCCAAAATTCTGTGACAGAGCCATGGTTCTTGGACATAACTACAGTTCATAACCTCCAGATGTTGCCGAACTGCAACTCCCATTGTCCCTAAGCTTTGGCCATGCTGGCTGGGGCTCATGGGAACTGAAGTCCAGCAGCATCTGTAGGACCACCAGTTCTCCATCCTTGACTTAAGGCCATGCTTCTCATCCTTTTAAAAAAAACCCATCTTCCCCTTGTGATAGCATAAAAATTCCCCACCCCTTCTTCAAACTTAGCTCCCCTAGTTATTTTATTTGAATTTTCAAAGGTGTTGAAATATTGCAACTTTTAAATGTAAAGAAAAAGAGGGTACTTTTTATCATATGTGGTGGACCTGCCCCAAGGTGAAAGACTTCTGGGAGAAGATTCATAACAAATTGAAAAAAATGTCGAAATATACATTAATTAAGAAACCAGAGGCCTTTCTTCTTGGAATAACAGGTTTGGAATTGCCGAAGAAAGATGTTAAATTATTTTTGTATGCCACAACTGCAGCTATAATTTTGTTAGCAAAGAAATGGAAAACACAAGAAGTACCAACGGTGGAAGATTGGCAGATGAAGATGATGGACTTTTTGGAGCTGGCCGACCTGACTGGAAGAGTCCGTGACCAGAAGGAGGAGGAGTACCAGGAAGAATGGATAAAATTTAAAGACTATTTAGCTAAATATGTTAAGATAACCTAATTGGAAAAGCTTGCAAATACGAGATTGGCCTAGGATTTAAATATGTAAGGATAGGAATTAAGATGTTCAAAGCCAGAATAGAAGGAATGAAAGCTGTTAAGTGATCAAGATAATTTTTCTTTGAGAAGATAGATTTTGGAAAACTGTTAAAATGATATATAATTAAATTCAACCAGGGGGATTTGAGGAAGTCACTTAACAATGTTACCAAGTTTGGTTTAATTACAAATAGGATGCATGTTTGTTTGTTTGTTTGTCTGTTTTAAAATTCTTTTTGGAAAATTAGTTTAAAGATTTGAAAAAAAGAAGAAGAAATATTGCAACTTTTATTTATAAATAGTATCTTTGGCTTCCCCCCAAAGAATCTTGAACTCACAGACCTACAATTTCCGACACCCTAAACTACAGTTAGCAGGGGAAACTACCATACTGAAAAATAAAAGTATGAAGTGTGTTATTTGGGAAGGCGAGATTATATGCAGCTTATTACATGACCAGCAAGTCATCACTAGTGCACAGGTAGCTCAGAATTATCTCACAAGCAGTGTGGCATATGATATTCGAAGCACAGCAGCTTGTCATGCATGGTGGGGTTAATCGGTTGCATGCTTATTTGTGCTGTTCATTTTCATGAACTTTGAGAACTTTCAGCTTACCACAAGCTATCACTATTACATATCAAATCATCCTCAATTTAAGGCAGGGATTCTTTTTTGTATGTGCAGCTGGACACAAGATTTGGAAAAGATTGTGCAGTTGGAAAAATGGGGTGGGGAACTAGACATGCTAAGTGTGGGTGTTTATTAAGCATTTAAAAGACAAGCAATGTCAGGGATAATAGATACACAACTTAGATGAACTCAGTTTCCATACTTACACCACCCACATCATATTAAAATGACCACCTTTTTTCTTTTTTTTGCCAGAACCACCTCTACTTCATCTTCCTCTTCGGCTAGGTAACTCTTCATCAAAGCACTCCTGTTTTTGAACCTTAGGTATTGATTATTCTGGGAAGTACGTTGAAACAAGACAAAATGTGCAGAGGTGGCTCCAGCTTTGAAGGAGCTCTTGGCAAAATGTCTACTCATGGGCCCCCATCTTACGCCAATGGCTTTTCTCTGATGTACCTGGATAGCAGTCTCCAGAAGTTACCGTGTAAAATTCCCACAATGCCTCCAACGAGGCATTGCTCTGGGGAATTGTGGGAAATTTAAATGGCAACTCCTGGACCCAAACACGTTTTTGAAAGGAGTGCATGAATGTGGTGTCAGCAGAGACCTGGCAACTGCTTGAGGATGCCACATACTGACGCCAGGCCAGAAAACTTGCCACTCAATGAAGCCTTGAAAAACCAGCACTTCTGAATAATTGGTTTTGCGAGGCTTGATTGAGTCATAAATTTTGCAGTGTTTTTACATATTTCCAAGCATGAAAGGCTTTGACTTTAGTAAGCCAACTTCCAACAGCAAACACCACTTGGCTGAGGCATTTCATCAGGTCTCATTTACTGACTTTATACAAATAACAGATTGGTAAGTTAGCATACTTGTACAACGGGCATTGGTTATGCACTCCTTGGTCTACCACAAATACCAATAATATATAATTTAGCATGTCCACTGTACGGCAACAAAAGTTAAAAAGATGAGTGAGAAAATCAGGCGGGTAAAATAAAGCCCTTTCTCCACAAGGAGGATCATATTATCCCACACGACTGATTCAGAGTCATCCTGGCATTCTTCTAGGGAGAGATGTTTCCTGATCTGTTGCAATTCTGCATTAATATGTTTCAGAAACACCAAACTCTCTTCTTCACGGCACTTTTCTGACAAGGATGATCTGCTTGCCTGCTGGCTCCCTTTGGGCAGCCCGTCTCCTGCATGGAAGAAAATGAAGACTGTATATGTTAACATGTTAAGAAAATCCTATGTAGGAACAGACATTGTTTGAGAATTAAAAATGGAGAGTTAAAAAACTACTGGCTGTTTTGATTCTAAATTCTGGCATTTGGTTCACCTGTCGAAGCAACCTAAGAAATCCTGAAGGTCGTCCAGTGGGTTTCTACTATCTCAATTCCTGGACAATGGATCCTGGACAATGTTCTTACCTCTTTCATCAGAGGAGTAATGGGGACAGCCTGATGCCTCAAGTCCATTTCTTACATTACACAGAAACAAACTCAGCCTTGTTCCAGCTGTACATTCAGGAGGGACTGGACATTGTCTCCATGACTTTATGCCATGGAGTGACCCATAAATTAGCTAAATAAAAAACTAAATAAATAGCCAATCCTTCACGTACTCCTAAAAATGAACTGTGAAAAGGATTTGGGGTTTTTTTTAAAGCACTGGATTATGGTGCTTGACATTCGCCCCCTTCTCCCTCTTTATTGATCTTTTTCTCCATTATGTAAGAAAAATAAAAAAACATTTTGGAAAGTGCTTACCTAAATCAGCCACAGGCTTCTCAGATTGCTTTTTCTTCTTTCTCAGAATTATATTCATAAATTTATTCCTCATGAAGGGTGGGGACTCTGGTTTCTTCTGTTTAAGATAGAGTACGAAAGCATTCTCCAGGATACCAAAGACCATAAATACAAATATCCCGGTGAAAAACATGGCTGTGTTGGAGAAGAAATGGATGGTAAATATTTGGCCCTTCAGGCGACTGTTCTTTTACGCTAGAGTGGGAGGGGCCTGGCAGGAGGCAGAAAAGAAATGGGGAGTGTTGTGGCACTGAGAAGATATGCTGTAGGGACCACACAAGTAACATGTGGGTTGCTGGTTTGGTGCTCCTATATCTGTAGATGTTTTGTCTGTGATGGGATGTATGTATGGTAAAGATGACGGTCGTTTTGGGGGAGCTTGAGATAAGTTGAGTGGGAATTAAGTCTAACTCCAAAGGAATGTGGGGGAAGTGTAGTGATGGTGGTGTCGGCGTTTGTAGATGGAGCCTGGGATAGTGACAATGGGTGATGGTTCTTCTCCCCACCAGATTTTGTGGGCATCTGATCACCAGTGTAACAGTGGCAAATGGGCCAGATTGCTTGCAGAAACTTGTAGAAGCTCTAGTTCTCCTTTATGAGAATTAAATGCCCCAAAACTCACACACTTTGTAGATTATAGAAGGTATAAAATAAGGATAAATCCAAAAATACACCAAAGCATTGAAACACAAAACCGAGTCATCTTGCCCTCTTTGGCTAGCATGGAATCCTTCTCTCTGAAATTCATAATAGTGAAATAGAGAGAAATAGGGATTTCCATGGCCAATCAAATAGATTCATCATTAAAAAGACTACTTTTGTCTTCCTGTCCTTCTCCTGCAGAGGAACCCATAGGACAAGACTGGTTAGTTGTTGAAGCACCACGGAGAGTTCCTAGGGGACAAGTTGCTCAAACTGGAGTTGGAACTGGACTGAGGCCTCTACCATCAGTCCACAACACTTATATGAACAACTGCCTTTTGGAAATCCAGACTCCCTTAAAGGGCCACCTTCTGGCCCGAAAATGGACATTCCTCTTGGGTCCCATGGCCTCCCACTTGGTGTGATTCCTATGCTGTTGGACTGGCCATGTACTGGGGTTCCTCAGGCCTAAGTGGAGACACCTGTCCCATCTCTGGTTCTGTGGACCCTGGGTTCTATAAATCCTGGTGCTGTGGCAGCTATTAAAGTGGCTTTGGCCATCTGTTCCTTTGTCCCACCTATTCCTTGAAGGAGTGCCAACTTCCAATCCATAGAACATTGAGGATTTAACTCAACTGGGGTGCACTCCTAACTCCTTGGAGTAAGTCACATTGATTTCAACAGGACTTACTCATGGATGGGCATGGTTAGACTCATGCTGTTGTTCACTAGAAGATTGTGCTGTGCAAACCTTTGTCAGAGATGCATAACACACTGCAGGCCTTTGCTGCTGTTCTCAAATGGTAGAAAGGCATTAAAGAGACCCTTCTTTCCCTATCCCATGCGGGGGTCAATGGGTACTGCCAGTGTTGGACTAAAAGCTACTGCAGCATAGCAGCTGCAAAATAGGATGTCTTCCCTAGGACAAATCTCTCAGGGTGGCCCGCTAAACTCTCTCATTCTTTCCCCACATCTGAGATATATGGATAATAACACCAAGATAACCTTGCAGAGCTGTTGTAAGATCCACAAGTTCATGTCATTGAAGTGCTTTAATATGTACTAAACAAATGATAAGGAGTATCTTTATTCTAGTTCTGTACAATGCCAGGTAATTACGATTTACAAAATAATATCTCCAGCTAAAAATCAGTTACTGACTCAGGGACCTGCTTGCTGGACCACAATGTGAGTAGGTCCAATGAAAGCAACCAAAACTATTTAACAGCCCCCCAAAACTGTTCAAAGGCTGCCAGGGCTGAATAATCTGTGCAGTAAAAGGTGGTTACCTATGACTGGTGGATCATCGGATGCTGACGGTAGCATATCATTCAGAATCAATGACAAGAGTGAGACTTGCAGGATCAGTGTCACTTTGAAAGCAATCTTTTCTCCAGGGCAAGCAAACGCATAAGAAATAGCCATATCCAGCAAGAACAGAGTAAAAGTTGGCAGGATCAGAACCAACACATACAAAATGGATTGCCTCTTCATAGAAACCTGTCCCAAAAAAGGACAAAACAAGAATGAAGATTACAGCAAAGAATGGTACTATCCTTTCAGTCTCACTAGTAGCATCAATTTGCCCATGGTCCTTATTCTTAGCAGCCTAAGAGTGGGTGAGACCATTTGGAGAACTGTTAAACAGGTGATATAATGAAATTCAGTTAGAGGGGATTTGAGGAAGTCAGTTATCAATGTAATGAAATTAGGGATATGAAGTGATAATTCTTTTTTGTGCCTTTTTTCTTTTTTCTTTGTTTTGTGTTTTGTAATGTATTTCTTTTTCTTTGTGATAAATGTGAAAATCAATGAAAAAAATAGGGGGGGGGGGAGTGGGTGAGACCATTATTTTCTCTCTTCCTAAAATGTTTCATGGAAAGTGTGGGATAACACTGTATTTGACACGACAACATCTAACCTGCCCACAAACAAACTAAATAAACAGGTCATCTGGAAGAACCCAGGTTGTGCTTGCTTCCGCAACACATCTACTAACCCAATGCATGCTTACTTCTTCAATGATCTTACTAGATAAGTGTGCATAGGATTGCAACCTCAGGATGCTATTCTGTTTGTATTGCTGCAGCTTGAACGATTACTTAAAATCAAAGTGTCCATCATCAACATATTGCAAAGGACAATTGATTTATTTTTTTGAAAATGAGCTAATAATGGTTGGTTTGTAAAGGATGTGCCTTTGGGGAGTGAAGTTAAACCTTTGGAGAGGCACATTGCCTGCTGTCGAGGCTGTAGAGATCAATATGGGAGAGACATGTTTGCTTGCAGCTGGGGCAGATGAAGGCATCCAGCTGTGCTGCAGCAGTTGCACCATGGCGTTTCCTCTCTCTGCATTCCTCCCAGCAGTCATTCCTTCTCTGGTCACTGCTGTGGATACATGACCTGACTGCTTGTCTCCAGGCTCTGCAGTTGTCTGCATGGGATTCCCACACGATGGGGTTGATGTTGCCAGCCTTCATCTTTGTAACACAGAGTTGGTCGGCCAATGGGCTTGGTGCCTGAAGCCAGCTCCCCATAAAGCACATCCTTGGGGGTCCTGCCATATTCCATTCTGTGGACATGACCAAGCTGCCCACATAGATGTGACTGAGACAGGAGTGTAGGAATGTGGGCTTGCAAGAGCACATCTTTGCTTGAGACTCTGTCCTGCCATGTGTGGCTCAAATCTGCCTGGCGCAGTGCATGTGGAAGACATTGAGGCAACACGCCTGATGCCTGTAAGCTGCCCATAAAGCAGTGTGCTCAACATACAAGCCTGGTAGACCTTCATCTAGGTAAATTTACTACCCTAAAAATTTAAGCAGAATTCCTGAAATTTTGCTTAAGCATAAAAACGAACACAAACTCTGTCTTAAGCATAAAACCGAACACTAGATATATAGGGATATCTTTCAGTGTTCCCATGTTTTCTAAATGTATTAGAAAACAAATACCTCATAAGTGACAATACTAAAGTTGCTTATATCATATCCCAAGGTGTGCTCTATGATCCTCAGTTCCTCAAACTTCCATTCTCCACTGCTCAAGAAACTTTTGTGACTATCTTGGTTTGCTTTCATGGAAGATTTAGAGCTCTTCAATAGTATTTCCTTATCTAGATTCAGCAGAAGACAAACGAAGATTGTTAGTTTAGGGCAGTATAGAAAATCACAATCACATCCTCAGTAATCCCGTTAGGAGTACAGACTGTGTATATACTTCAGTAGTGAAGTCTGTCAGCCCTCTTAGGCCTTCCTTTTGAGGTTGTGCCATAACTGTTCCATCTTGTCCCACAGCTTGCTCAGTGTGCGAATTAAGCCCCAATGTGGCATCACACCCAAATTGGTAGTGATATACTAATAGCAAACACATGGTCAGCCTCCCATGGGAGCAACTCTCAAAACTGAGAGAAGACTTTGACCTGGGAGCATTGGCATGGGGAGCAAACATACAATAAAGAGTGATAATAGGGAGAGAGTGAAGAAAGATGTGGAAAACAGGGAACATAAGGCACATTTGGAAAGGCACAAGTTGCGTGTACAGTGTTAACCTCCTGGTGAAGGGCAGATAAGAGATATAGTAAGTAAATAATAATGCCTTGTGCCCAGTGCTAGTCCTACTCCGTATAGACCCATTGAAATTAATGGGCATGGCTAACTCAGGTCCATTATTTAAATGGGTCTACTCTGAGTAGGTCTTAGTTGGATGCAACCTAATCTTATCTTTCTATATAATAAAATTGTAAGGCTGTCATCATGCAGCAGTTTTCATGGCCACCAATAGGCAGCCATGCAAACTGCAGGTTGGATATACCAGGTAGGCAGAGTGAGAGAGCAATGCAAAGACATGGGTAGAGTGATCAGGCCACGAAGGAGCAGGAAGGACAGTTCTACCCCACATTCCACCTCTGATTCCACTGCCATTGATGGTGGGGAGGGCAAAGGGGCAAAGGTCTCTCCAACATCTATCCCACCCCAAAGTTTATGCTATGATTGCTGCTCAGAGAAGGAGAGAAAAATGCCTGCATTTTGAAATGCAGGGGTTTCTCCTTCACACAACGACAGCTATGCTAACCCTGTTGTTGTCACCACTGCTGTTGGGGTGAAGAGGAAAGTCTTTTTGACCTTTGTGGTGGTGGTGAAGTTGATGAGTTGCAAAGGGAGAGATTTGTAAAAGTATAAAGGGAAGGGTGGGGTGAGCTGTGGGAGAATTGGGAGATTTAGGAAGCTGTAAGAGACGTGGGGGTTGGGGAGTTAAGAGGAGTTGGGTGTTGGGAAGCTGATTCGGGAGTAGTGTAAAGGTTTAACAAGGGGTGGTAGGTCTGGCAGGCTTGGCAAGCAAGACCTAGGTAGGAAAGGGGTGAATTGTGAAGGTTGAAGAGTGAGCATATGGGGTACCAATTGGGAGTGTGCATTCAAAAGTACATGGATGGAGAGATAGAATCAAACAATCATGACAGTTCAAAGAAATACAGCTGTGCTTGGCTGTGTTACCTGAACATATTGTGGTCATGGTTAAGTTGCATTTTTGTTTATCAAAAGGAAATGCATGGACATCCAGACCGCAGGATGAAGTGAGTCGGTAGGTTTGAAGCAAATGAATGTAGCCATCGGATGTGACATATGCCATAGGGCTGAGTGTGAACTTGTCTTCATCGGCCCTAAAGATACGGTTATCGTAAAGAAAGCTTAACATTTTGTACATATTAGACAACCTGCATTAGTAAAAATGGACTTAAGCAGGGCATGTGGCAAGAGAGTAGTAGTGTGGAGACCCTACCATTTTAAAAGACCAAGGGGAAAGCCACCTATGCAATGGGTGGATGATCTGAAACTAACAGCAGGGTTTGCATGGATGCAGCAAGCAAACAAAAGAGAGTGCTGGGGACAACCTGAAGAGTACTTCAAAGGATGGATGTGAGATGCAGGAGGAGGAGGAGGAGGAGGAGGAGGAGGAGACAATTTATAGGTTTGGCTCCTACATTGAAACCCTCTTTGTCAATACAACAACCAAACAAACATACAGAGATTGACTGCATGTATTATATAATAATAGAGTATAAAATATAACCAAAGGGGGTTATGAAAACATTTATAATATACAAATAAGACATTAATACGTTCACATATAAACAATGTCACCTTATAGGAAAGCCCAGGTGGATTCTGTAATTTTTTAATTTTCCAACCAAAATATTTCCAATATTTTGCAATATTCAGCAGCTGTCACAAAAATGTCTGGGGATCGGAATAGTAATGATAATGTTAGATCACATCACTTCTCTCAGTGGTGAAATGTTCCAAGTGTGTGGCCCCTACCTGTTTTATTTTCCCCCAGAAGGAGGCTTGTGGCATTTTGTAATATCTGTTTATCTGCTCCCACATCAGGTCTCGAGAGAGAGGTAGTCAGCACTTCCAAAATGCTGTTGGCTTGCAGAACCCAAGCTCCACTCACTGTGTCCCCCTTAGCAACCCCCTCACTCAGAAACCATCTATGGTTCTTTTCACAGACATCTAAATTATATCATCCTTAGCTAGAGGTGGGGGAAGAAAGGCAGAACAAAAATAAAACCTTTAAATCCTGGTGCTTAGATTCAATTTCAAACAACTGAGAAAAATGAACTTGCGGTATGTTATTTAATAACCCAAGTACTAAATAATAATAATAATAATAATAATAATACCACCATTTAAGAATTTAAGCCAGTAAAACCAAGTATTTCAAGCAATCTACCACAGCATTTATAGGATGGTGGCTATTTTGCATGATAGATGGGTGGTTGGGGAAGATTATATTTCATTTAGCTCTGTGCCAGGGAAACCCAAGGTAACCTAAACTCAGCCACACAATGCAAAATTCAAAACTCTTGGCTTAGTCCTGGCAATGCTGCCCGCATTTGTGCTCATCCTCTATCCCAGTGCTGCTAAACATCTAGCTATCATGGCAGGCAGCCTTCTCGATGCCTGGGCATGGAAATTGTAATGTGGTTTCAGGGCTACGCTGCAAATTTGCCCTCAAAATGCAGTTTGAAAACACATTCCACATTGATTAAAAGCAGCATTACCGTTCATCTATGTAAATGTCTGGGGTCCAAAATAGTTTCACAGGAAGAGTGATCCTTGTAATGTTACAGAAGTCCAAGGGATCCCATGAGATGAAATCATTTTTCCAGCTCTAGTGGAAGGAAAAATTATATTAGTTTGTTGTTGTTTGCTGGGTTCTCATGGGAAGATGAATCTGTTTGTTACTTGCAGAGAAGAAAGAGGACCTTACCACATGAAGCCAGAAATAGAATGTGACCACCTGCAATTTTTCTTGCTGCAAATAAGCAAAAGGGTAAAGATTAATGTATTCTCTTCTTCCCGCCCTAGAAAATTAAGACAGATAGTAGCACTACCGGAGGGTGGGAGGGAGATGGATGACCCTCTTTTAAAATTCCTGCTCCCCTGCTGGCTGATCTGCTGGTGGCCCTGCTGGAATTGCAGCTACTAAACTAGCACATGAGTGTTTTGTTATTCTACCCCAACAATTATTCCCCTGCTCCAACTTCCCTTTCCTTTCTTTCCCCCCTCCTCAATATTTTTGCTTAGTCTTATCACTGGAGACCAGACGTGTAATGATTATTCTCTCTTACCACTGAAAGGATGGACACCAAGGTGAAGTCTAGATCAACTTCTAAGGATTCTTCCCAATTTCTCTTGGGGATGGTGTATGAGAAGAGATCCTTATTAGAAGAGATGTTGAGGTACTTGGCCACATCATAGTAACCACAAATCTGTTTCTGGGTGGCTTCTGGAATAGGAACAAAATGAGAAGATGAATGTCTCAGTATGGTAAGATTCAAAAGTCTGTGTTCTAGGCAGAGTCCCACAGTATCCTTCCTTTCCTCTTGCTTTGCTGTCTACCATCATTTCGAAAGCCAGTGAACTGGAGAAATTACTGTCCTTCATTCCAACATCCATCCTACATTCCATCATGTATTTTAGTTGATTTGTCAGCTAGTAGAGCTGGAGGGAAGAGAATAAATGCTCTTACCTGGCACCCAGGAGAGAAGAAAACTCATCATAACAGCTTTCCACATTCTCTGAGTAGGTCCAAATGCTTTTTAATAGTAGAATAAAAAATGTTCTAGGCTGCTAGGTTTACTGAAATGAGGAGCAGCAGTATTTCTTGTATGAAATGGAAACCTCCCGTGGCTGTGGGGTAATGTATTTCACATCTCTGGTTTTGAATGTCATTTCCATGCATTTGCTCCTTACTTTATCAGCTCTGCACATCTGCCCATGCCTCCCTGTTGGCCTAAAGTGTACACAAATTCCCTAAAACATTTTCTTTCTCGTCATCTTGATCTTTGTGCTTAATTAAAGATCTGGTTACCCATTAGTGTCCATTACTTTTTCCCCTTTGTGATCCGGATGTTGCTTTCCAGATAATTATGTTATTTTGATGCACTCTTTGCAAACACTGTTATGACAAATATTGTAATTAGACATCAGGCACCATGCACCTGCCTCTTTGAAAGTGCAAAGCACTTGTTTTGATGAAATGCAGAACAGAACCTGTGGGTATGTCTACCCTGGCCACATATATCCATTTCATCTCAGCATGGCCAAAACTCTATGACAGATCCTTTGTGTACTTTATAAAACTACAGTTTATGGTGCAAATGGGGAGCCTGTGACCCTCCAAATGTTGCTGGTCTACAACTCCCATTATCCCTAAGCATTGGCCATGCTGCCTGGGGCTAATGGGAATTGAAGTCCAACAATATCCTCAGAGCTACTGGTACTCACGCCACTCTTGGTTTAAGGTCATGCTTCTCATCCTTTTTAAACACATGCCCCCTTCTAGATTACTGTACATATAAATCCCACACAGCCCTTCCATCCAACTCCCCTCATTATTTTATTTGAATTTTCAAGAGTATTGAAATATCATTACTTTTTATTATAAGTCTGTACTACTACTACTACTACTACTACTACTACTACTAATTTTATTATTTATACCACGCCTGTCTGGCTGGGTTTCCCCAGCTACTCTGGGCGGTTTACAACACATAAAAAATTGTAAAACATTAGACATTAAAAATTTCCCAATACAGGATTGCCTTCAGATGTCTTCTAGAAGTCAGATACAGTGGTACCTCGGGTTACATACGCTTCAGGTTGCATACGCTTCAGGTTACAGACTCTGCTAACCCAGAAATAGTGCTTCAGGTTAAGAACTTTGCCTCAGGATGAGAACAGAAATCGTGCTCCGGCGGTGCGGCGGCAGTGGGAGGCCCCATTAGCTAAAGTGGTGCTTCAGGTTAAGAACAGTTTCAGGCTAAGAACAGACCTCCGGATCAAATTAAGTACTTGACCCGAGGTACCACTGTAGTTGTTTATTTCCTTGACATCTGACGGGAGGGTGTTTCACAGGGAGGGTGCCACTACAAAGGAGGCCCTCTGCCTGGTTCCTTGTAACTTCACTTCTTGCAGTGAGGGAACCAGCTGAAGACCCTCAGAGGAGGACCTCAGTGTCTGGGCTGAATGATGGGGGTGGAGAGGCTCCTTCAGGTATACTGGGCTAAGGCTGTTTGGGGCTTTAAGGGTCAGCACCAACACTTTGAATTGTGCTCGGAAATATACTGGAAGCCAATGCAGGCTTTTCAGGATCGGTGTTATATGGTCTCTTGTAGTGTTAGGTATGTTGTTGTTATGTGGCTTTCCTGACTCAGTACTACACTCCAACCTTGGAAGATGATCAGAGTCCAAGACCTGAGGTTAGCCTCCATTTTGACACTTCCTTGGAATCTGGGTTTATATGACCTCATCATTTCTTGTGTCAGGTGACTGGTGAAGACCTCGCCTGCCATATTGGTGATGAGTCAAATTTCTTATACTACCTGAACAAGCTGGAATTAAGGCCCAAGCATGCTAAGTCACACATGGACCCTGAAGTGGTTTCTTGAGGGGTTGCGATAGTGGATATCAGAAGCTGAGAGATGCTTCAGCAGAACTGTGGTGAAGAAGACAAATGATTTTAGCTGGTGAGTATAAGGAAGAAAAAAAACAGGGTTTTTAGCGGGGGAGGACTTTTGGTTTAAAGTGTCAATCCACTGTCACTGCAATGTTTCATTCTGCCAAATGTCTGTCAAGACTTTCCCCCTACTACTGTTTCCTGGTACAGATCTTTTTCTGAATTGCAATGCGATATTTAACCATATTCTTCCTTGGTTTCTTCCACTGCTGGTAGATGGCAATACATCGACTTGTGTACAATTGTATATTCCAGTCTAGTCAACTGCAAGAGACTGGCATGTAATATAAAGTACATCTTTTAAAAGGAAAGGAAAGCAGTTGCTGCCATTCTATGGAAGGTAAACGAAAAGCGAGGGGTGGTTACTGGCCCTGAGGAGGAGCTCGGCATGGTTGCTTTGAAAAGTATTATCTTGGTATAGATATAATAAATATAGATATTATAATATAAAAGAATGGAACTTATTTATTGGTTGAAAAAGAAAACATTTGTAAACACATGGTGTTGCTCCTTTTGTATACCGTGACATAATATGATTTAATGTGAAAGCTTTTATATGAAGCTGAGACTTTCAGGTAAAGTGAAGTGTGAGCTTGCCCCACC